AGAGCTCCTGCCAGCACAGGGCTCCCGCCAGCACCGGGCGCCCGCCAGCAGCAGGTGCGTCGCAACCGGTTTGCGGCAACCACCTTCTCTGCCGCCCAGTTCCCATCACAGGCCTGCGGTACCTGAGCTCCATCACCGGGGCGAACAGCATGCTGAGCAGGGCAGGCAGGCCAGGGATGTGCGGCAGCAGCGACGTCTCCCTCAGCAGCATGGTGGACCCTGGGGACAGGTGCGCGGGTCCCTGTCAGAAGCCACGCTGCTGCCCTGGCCCCACAGTCACACCCGCAGCCAAGTGCCCCGGGGCTGGTCCCACAGCCCTGCAGACAGACGCCTGTCCCAGTCTCAGCCCAGTGACCTCTGCTCGGTGCCTTCTCCCCCTTCCTCCTCGCGAGGCAGCGGGGTCTGCGGGCCATGACTTAGCCCAGTGATGGCGAACCTTTTGAGCTCGGCGTGTCAGCATTTGAAAAACCCTAACTTAACTCTGGTGCCGTGTCACATATAGAAATTTGTTGATATTTGCAACGATAGTGAACAAAGACTTATATTTTTGGTATTTATTTTATGTACTTAAATGCCATTTAACAAAGAAAAATGAACCAAAAAAATGAGTCCGCGTGTCACCTCTGAACTTTGTGTCACAGGTTCACCGTCACTGACTTAGACACTCCCTGTGCAGCCCGGTGGGGAAGAGGGAGGAGCAGTGCTTCTGGGACAGGGGAGGCCGAGGCTCCCTCTCTCAGACCTGCCTCCCGCACCGCTCAGGGAGCAGCCTGACCACACGCCTGCACCAGCCCCAGGACAGGGAGGGGGCACAGCCGCACTGACCAGTGGCGTTGACGGAAAGCGAGGCTGCCACCAGCACCCTCTGGTGCAGGTCCTCGGGGCTGTCACTGATGGCCACCGAGTTGATGCTCTCCTTCTCGATCCAAACGCGCCTGGAAGGAGGGCACAGGTGCTGTGGGTCCCGCCTGGGCGTGTGGGTGCCCACCCGTGACGGGTCCCCGCGCAGAGGCAGGGAGCACAGGGAACACTGCGTCCCCTCCGCACCCCTCCCCTGCACCACTGCCCCTCTCCCTCCCCCACCTCAGTGATCGCACCCACTCCCTGGCGTCAGTGTCACCCACGTGCTGACAGCGCCCAATGTCCACTCGCCGCAGACTCCGCCTCTCCTCCCGACCTTGGCGGCCCCACCTGCACCCCAGGCAGCCGCCCCAGGGAGCTGCGCGTCCCTCCCCATCATCCTACGGATGCCACACCCACACGCTCCGGGAGAGCGAGAGCGGGGGCTCTGGATGCCATGCGGTCCACATGCCCCACCAGGTGACGGCGACTGGCCTCTGTGTGCTCCTTCCCAGGACCCTTCCCCCCAAAACCCAGCGCCCACCACGGAGCGCCCGCCGCAGGTGCCCTGGCCGCGTGGAGCGAAGGCTGAGCCAGCAGGCCTGGCGGGAGCTCCCACTTCCACAAGATCCCGGGCGGGACCTGTGCTGCCGGGCCTGGGGCCTGAGGAGCCAGGGCTTGCCTTGCAGCCAAAGTGCCCACAGAAAAATGCACGCAGTAGAGCTGCCCCCGGGCACCTGACCTCAGACCAGCTCTGTCGCCCCTCTGCTCCCCACCCGGCTCCCCCCTCCACTAGTGCACTCTCCAGGGAGGCCTCCGCTGCGCTGGACCGTTCCCACCTGGCCCTCACCTCCCCCACCGCACACCTTGGCCACCTGCACCCGTGAGGCCTCAAGTTCTCTGGAAAACCTGTCTGTGTGGGGGGCCCTCCCGGTGCTTTCTGAATGCTGTGGCCCCCAAGACCCTCATCACCTGCCGTGTAATGACTGCTTTCTCCTGCGTACCCCCACACTGGACTCAACATCTTTGGGAGGTCACTGGCTGCATTTGTTCACTACTGACCCCCCAAACTGTGCAGTTCTCAGAACCTGGGGGCAGTCCCAGGTTTGCTGAATAACAAAAATAATAAGAACAGAAAAAAACAAAGTCTTTGATGGAAAATACTCAAAATACCTTACACAGAATGGCTTTCAGATCAGAGAGAGAGAGAGAGAGGGAGAGAGAGAGAGAGAGAGAAACATCAATGATGAGAGAGGATCATTGGTTGGCTGACTCCTGTAAACCCCACTAAAGATTGAGACAGTTAGAAAGGTAACAGCGCCCACACGTTAGGGTGCGGGAGAGCCATTTCTGACGAGCTCTGTACACATGGGAGCAAGAGTGAACGCCCACGGGAACGAGCAAATCGTACCTGAACTTGGATATCCTGGTCAAACTGTGACACTTCAGCTCGTAGGGGTTAAAAGGCCCGTGAAGTACTGCCTGCGCACACAACACACACGTTACCAGGAAGCAAGATGCCCCTTAACGTGCACTTTAAACCCACAAGTCGGCTCTATTTTAAAAAAAGAAAGGTGCGCCCGCTGGCGGGCCCAGTGGTTGACCATCGGCCTATGAACCTGGAGGTCAGGGCACAGGCCCCGGTTGCAGGCTCGATCCCCAGTAGGGGGCGTACAGGGGGCAACCCATCAATGATTCTCTCTCACCATTGATGTTTCTGTCTCTCTCCCTCCCCCTTCCTGAGATCAATAAAAAGGTCCTTGTCTGGACTCCCCAGCAGGATCCCAGGAGGAAACCACTCCTCCCTCGCCATGCGCACTGCAGAGCCTCTGCCCAAAGGCCATGCGAGCACGCCAGCCCCGGGGGCGTCCTCTCCTGCAGCGCCCAGCGCAGGGTGGGCAGGCCGGGGCACAGTGAAGGTGGCACAGGAGAGGCGGACCCCGACAGGACAGGCCGGGGCGCCCACTCCCCACAGGCAGGCTGCAGGACCCCAACTGGCGCCGTTTCCCCCGATACACAAGCCAGCTCACCTGTGGAAAGGTTGGTCTAAAAAAGAGACTAGCCCTGCTGGTGTGGCTCAATGACTGAGAGTGTCAGCCCACACACTGACGGGTCTCGGGTTCGATTCCCGGTCAAGGGCACGTGCCTGAGTCGTGGTTTGCTCCCCACCCCCAGTCGGCGTGTGGGTGGGAGACAACCCCTGTGTCTCCCTTCATCAATGTTTCTCTCTCCATCTCCCTCCCTTCCTCTCTCTCTGAAAAGCCAGGGAAACACGTCCTCAGGTGAGGAGGAACAAAAACAAGTGACACGCGCTGCTTATGACTGTGTTTGAGAGACGAGTCCAGGCGTCCCCTACAGCAAACCCCGGTTCTTCTTGGTAACAGGCTCCCGGGGGAAGGGGCCGGAGAGCCAGGAGAACGGTCAGGAGGTACCTTGTGGTTTGGGGGCCCCAGCTTGTTTGAGGAAAAGCTGTCCAGCAAGACCCGGATGAGGTGCTTCTCGCTGTCCTTCGTGGGGGACTGCACACACATGTCCGTCACGTGTTCTGATTTGGAAAAGAGACCCTTGAGAGCTTCATGGCTTTGCTGGACAAAATGAGGAAAGCGTGTTTTACTACAAGAGAAGTCAGTACGAACAGCCCTTTATCCCAAACTAACCCAAGTGCTTCTTAGGCATGACCTCTCCCTAGCTCCGTGGTGGGCAAACCATGGCTCGCGAGTCACATGCGGCTCTTTGGCCCCTTGAGTGTGGCTCTTCCACAAAATACCATGTGTAGGCGTGCACGTACAGTGTGATTGAAACTTCGTGGCCCATGTGCAGAAGTTGGCATTTTGTGAAAGAGCTGGTATTTTGTGGAAGAAACACACGCAAGGGGCAAAGAGCCACATGTGGCTCACGAGCCATGGTTTGCCAAGCCACAGTTTGCCGACCGCTGCCCTAGCTCATCTCCGGGATCGAGGTGTCCGGAGGTAATTCTCCCAAAGACACGAGAAGTGGGACCAGCTTCCAGAGGGCTCGGCCCACGCCTGCACTGCCTTCCACCACCCGCGCTGGAGAGCCCGGCGGGGTGGAGAGCGAGGAGGGTGGAGAGCGCTGTCTGCGGGCGATGTCACCAGGACTGGAAGTGTGTCCACAGATGGGCAGCTCTTGCTCACAGCCCACCCACCCCTCCTCTCCGGCAGGGTCACGGGATGAAACCCGCCCGCAACAGCAGCCTGGGAAGTGCCCCTCTAACCCTCACCAAGAGGAACAGCTGCAGAAAGGATTTTCACACTTCAAATGTTTGAATGATAGGAAGCCAACCTCCACCACCCAGCCACCAGAGTCTCTGAGAAACCTCGCTGACCCAAGAGGGCAGCTCGGGTCCTAGCAGGAGGCACCCCGCGCCCCCGTGCGCACCCGGGACTCGTAGCACTCCTCGGCCAGCTCGGCGTGGCCCTCCTCGATGAGCACATCCCTGATGTTGACGAAGTCCTGCAGCCCCGAGGACAGGTACAGGTCCACGTGCAGGACGCTGTGCACCACGGAGAAGACCTTGACGAGCAGTGCGCGGCCGCTGACCAGGGCAGCGAAGCGCCGGCTGGCCTCTCCGCTCCAGTGCTCGCCGCACACTAGGGACCTCGCCGAGGGGCGCAGCCTGCAGATCTTGAACTCCAGCGCCTGCGGGCAAGGGCAGGGCAGGCCAGGTCAATGAGCCAGCCACCCCAAGGGTCTGTCTGCCCTGTGATTCACAGCCCTCTCGTAAACCCACTCTAGCCCGGCCCATATGGCTCAGTGGTTGAGCTGGTCCCATAAACCAGGTCACTAGCTCTGTTCCTGGTTGGGGAACAGGTCCAGATTTCGGGCTGATCCCCAGTGGGGGGCGTACAGGAGGCAGCAGATGGATGACTCTTCTCACATGGATATGCCTGCCTCTCTCTCCCTCCCCCTTCCTCTCCGTAACCAATAAAAAAGCATCCGAGCTGAGTGAGGCTCCGGGGGGAGGGGCCTGGCTCGCTCCTCAGCAGCAGTGCAGGTGCAGAAGGACGGTCTCAGCAGGACAGACTGCGGTCCAGCTGTCTCGGCCACCGCAAGTCTCCCTGCTTTCAATGTGACCCGAACCCTTCTACCAAGTACGAAACATCCGTATAAATATATTTTTTTAAATATATTTTGTTGATTTTTTACAGAGAGGAAGGGAGAGGGATAGAGAGTTAGAAACATCGATGAGAGAGAAACATCGATCAGCTGCCTCCTGCACACCCCGCACTGGGGATGTGTCCGCAACCAAGATACATGCCCTTGCCCGGAATCGAACCTGGAACCCTTCAGTCCACAGGCCGAAGCCCCATCCACTGAGGAAACCAGCTAGGGCCATCCGTATATTTTAACACACTTCCAAAACAACGCTGGCAAAAACACCTACAGTGATAATTTTTAGGAAAAAGCAGAGGCCCTATTTGGCTGGTGTCACAGAACAAGCCCCTCCTGCTCCAGCCTCGGCCCGCCTCCCGCCCACCTGGAACGGAAGTGCGAGAAGCTGGCCGGGAATCTCCATTAAGAGGTCCAGGTCCACATGAGACTTGTTGCCATAGTCCACGAAAAACACCTGCAGGGTGAAGAGGGGCGCACGCTATGCGAGGCCAGCGCGGGCCTCCCGTGTCCACGTCAGCCAGGGCGGTGCACGCGCCCTCTGCTCCACCCGCAGCACTCTGGGACCGAGCTTCCACGCGTCCCGGGGGAAGAGCGCTTCCTGCCGGGCCGCTCGCCTAACTCTCACTATTTCCTATTTCGTTTCCACTCGGGCGAGGACTCTGCCTGAACTGTGCCCGGGTCCCTCCCCGAGCGGCGGCAGCAGACGCACCTCGGCAGAACTCCCTGACACGTATAGTATCTGCGCCCTGAAGTAGCTGCGCTCATCAGAGTCGGCAAAAGGTGCCAGGCAGACCAGGTCCGGGTGCGGGTGGACGGCCAAGGGCGCCAGCTTCAGGCGCTTTATCTCTGCCATCAGCTTCTTCAGAATCACGGCGTTCTTCTCGTCGATCCTGTACCCCCAGAAGTGCCCCACCTCCACCACCTGCAGGAGGAGGGCACCGTGAAGCCCCAGGCCCCTGGGCAGGGCTCCAGCTCCAACCACATGGCGGGCGGGGGGAGAGGGGCGCAGGCTCCCAGCCACGCCCAGGAAAGGGGTCCTGCGGCAGCCCCGTCTCCCACCACCACAGCAGGAGCAGGAGGCCCAACTAGGCAGCCTGCCCACTGCACCGCCCGCTGCCCCGGAGCCAGCTGTCGCTGTGGCCGCCCAATGGCGTGGCTGCGACGCACCAGGAAGCATGCCTGTACTCCGAGTGACATTTTAGCTCACGGACACCCTCAGGAATACTGGTGCCGACACTAACTGTGTTGACATAAACGGACATAAGTAGTACAGGCCAGGCATATACTATTATTCCAATGAACACTTCTACATGTATCTTGTGGCTAAAACTGGTTTTTAGCGTTTTAAACGTAACATTTAAAAATCCACTCTGAGCCGAGAATGGACCTGTGCTCCTTCTGTGTGCGGCCACATCGGCCACGCCCTCCCAGGTGACTAAGGGGTGTAAGGACCACATCGTGCCACTCGTGGCAACTCTGACGAAGGTGCAGAAGCTTGCGGGACTCCTACCTCCGTGACGTCGACCGTGAGGAAGAGGTCTGGGACCAGCCGGGACCTGCCTGTTGTGCTGAAGGACACCTGGACGGGGTCCACCGTCTGCTTCTGGAAGTCCACGTTCACCCTGCGCGAGGTTGAGAGGAGTCACAGGCCAGTGTGACAGAAAAGGCGTGTGCGCGGTGACGGCACTGCGGACCAGCCCGCCGCCTCCGCGGGACAAGAACGTGCTTGTCAAACACCCGCGGAGACGGGCTTGGTCCCCTCAGCGCAAGTGTCTGCTGCTTCCTGAACGGCCACATGCCCTCAGGGATACAGTCCACGGTCCGGAGCTTACAGGCCAGCTGCAGGGCTGCCGTGTTGCCCAGAGGTTCCAAGGGGAGCGGCCTGGGCCTCCAGAACACAACAGCGGCCAGGCGGCCAGGTTCCCGGAGACCAGGAAGAGCCTCACTCTCAGAGCTTAAGACAGCGACCTAACGCTGGAGAGGATGAAACACAGCTTTGCTGGAAATGAAAGTTTCCTTCCTAACGCTTTTCTTTTTACCATAAAATGAAGGGATTATAACAGACCCAGTCCCACTTATTGACTACGAGCAGCTGAGGCAAAGGCACCCGCCAGATGGTCCTTGTTCCAGGCCCACCACACCCCAGGCCTGGGCCCGGCAGCCCAGATGGCGCTCAGGGCACACACTGCCCTCACCAGCTCAGCTCCTGGTGGAGTAAACACTCCGAGTGGGAGATGATGAGGAGAAGGCCTCCCACGGGCTGTGCGAACAGGACCAGCGGCACCGTGACGCGGCACCGAGTGCAGGGTCCAAGAGAAGGAAGAGCAGGGGCTCGATGGTCGCTGCCCAGCAGCAAGGGCCACAGGCGGGCACCAGACCCAGGGCAGCCCGCCCCTCCTGGGCACAGGGAAGCCCCCTCACCAGGGAAGGGCTGTCTTGTGTGGGCACACAGCCAGGTGCTCCGCTGCCCTCCGCCCGCCCACTGTCTGCTGAGAACGGGGCACAGTGCACTTTGCTCAGAGGAGATGGACGGCGAGGAGGAAGAAAGGGGCCTGAGGTTCGGTCCCCGCCATCTAAACCGGTCAGTGCTGAGCGCGTCCCCGCCACCCCCGCGGCCGCACACCCAGCAGCGGGGCCGCTTCACAGAAGTGCCCGCAGTGGGAGCGCAAGCAGGTCAGTCGTTCATTACCACACAGGAGACAAGGGAGCAAATGGACACGCCCGCACGGTTACAGGACAGGAGGGACCTGGACAGACGCCTGCAAAGCCGACAGGCGCACGAGAAGGCGCTCCACGCCAGCAAACCTCAATGAGTGGCCACGTCACCCCGCGGGGCACCAACACGGCCCCAACCGAGTGCTGGACGGGTGCGGGGCTCAGGGACCCAGCGCACTGCGGGGGCCACACCGGGCAGCTGGGGACACAGCCTGGAGGCCCTCAAACTAACACACAGAGCTCCCGGCGACCAGCTGTCCCTCTTCTGTGCGTTTAGCCAAGGCCAAGGCCATAGAAACACAGACTCGTAACAAGACCTGCCCCTGCTCCCAGCAGCCAGGGCACGGAGATGACCCTCGTGCCTGCTGGTAGATACCTCATCATCTGAGACAATGTGGATGGACCTTGAAGGCAGCGCCCTAAGGGAAATCTACAACAAAAACAAGACCACACACACAAAGAAAACTCTCAGGCCCTACCGGTCTGGATCAGCGGCTGAACGTCAACCTATGAACCAGGAGGTCACAGTTCGACTCCCAGTCAGGGCAATGCCCAGCTGCAGGCTTGACCCCCGGTGGTGGGCGTGCAAGAGGCAGCCGATCAATGATGTTTCTCTCTCCCGCTCCTTCCCTCTCTCTGAAATCAATAAAAACTTATTTTAAAAAATAAAAAGAGCTCATACCTGTGGTTCTGGGAGGCGGGAGGGGGTGGGGAAGGGGAAATTGGAGGAAGGTGCTCAGAGGACAGGAAGATCCAGCTGCAGACCCTAAGTCCACCCTGCCCCCAGCGGACAGGACAGGTGTTAGCAGTGAACCCCGGTTCTCATCACAAGAAGGCCTTCTGTTTTCTGCTGTAAGTATCTGGGAGGCGGGGGTCAGTGAACCATGTGTGGTGATCACTCTACAGCCCACATGAACCGCACCAGCACGCTTACGCCCTCAACTTGCTCAGGGAAACGTGAAGATGGAAACCTGAGACTCCGAGAGGCGAGTGATGTGCCCAGCACACAGCCAGGAGGCAAGGAGGCCGGCTTCCCAGCCAGTGCTTCCCGTGGGAGCGTGGGAAGGCTGGCCGAGTAAGAAAGCTGGGGCAGGTGGAGGCGTGGCAGAGCCGGGCCCCCCTGGCGGTACCTGGTGCTCCTGAGCCTGGAGACGGCGCCCCCCTGCACCCGGCCCTCGATCTCCTCCGCCGAGTGCACGCTGAGCTCCAGGGCCACCTTGAGCTGAGCCATCTTCACCGCCATGTACACCGCAGGCAGGACCTTGAACCTCTCGGTCGGGTTCCGGGAAAACTCCACGAAGGCTCTGTTCCGCAGGACAATTCAAGTAAGTTACCGCCCGTCCGGCCTGGCTCAGGAGACAGAGCGTCGGCCTGCAGACTGAAGGGTCCCGGGTTTGATTCCGGTCAGGGGCATGTGCCTCGGTTGCAGGCTCCCAGCCCTGGTCGGGGGCACGCAGGAGGCAACCAATCAACGTGTCTCTCTCACATCGATGTTTCTCTCTGTCTCTTCCTCTCCCTTCCAGTCTCTCTCAAAGTCAATAGAAAAAATATGCTTGGATGAGGATTACAAAATATAAATAAAAATAAAGTTACCCGGCACCTGGGAAAGCAACCGAGTGCATGAACTTCTCTCAGGTGAGAGGTGCTCAGTCACACCTCTCCTCAGGACACCAGGGCCCCTCCCTCACCGAGAGAAGTGGCCACGACAGTGACACATCACTTCACTGACATCAGGGATCCTCCTGCAGAAGATGCAGACGCAACTTTCGGGCAAGAAATACCTGTGCTCACGGTTAGAACAGAAGGACAGGTGTGGGCTTCCTTTCCATCTTATTGTGACATGAACCGCAGATCAGAGGAAACCACACACGAGCAGGAGGTCTTGGTGGCCTCCCCCCAGACACCAAGTTATCACCCAGCAGAGTGGCAGCTGCCCCTCCCCACCCACCTGGGGGTCAGGCTGCAGGGCACCTGCCCTACACCTCCTTCAAGTACACGGGCTGGTGAATGTCAAATGCCCGGATCAACATAGTCCCCCCACAACTGCCATGGAGTGAGGATGCCCGCGCCGGAGGGCAGTGTGCCCAGGGCAGGCAGCCCAGTGGGGCCCTCTGGGAGCGGGGGTGGGGGGGCTGCTCCAGCCCTCCGCAGAGGAACCTCTGGGACCTTCCTCTCACTGT